GTGATATTTATATGATCTCTTAAATGACCTTAATGTGCTTAACATTGTTTTGCAAAATTTTGTCAAACTACATGTCAAAATCTTGAATGATTGTGACATACCAGTGTAAATCATGTGCATGTTTGGAAAAAAAAAAAAAAAAAAACTTTTTTAAAATTGGTGTTTACATTGAAGGAAGGGAGGCGTGTCAACAATTACCCAATGCAAAAATATTAGGTTGGGAACCACTATTTGGGAACCACTTCAGTTTTGAAGCTTTAGCATGTTGTCGTTGCGGGGCTCAACATTAGCCCCTACAGAAGGCGGCCACAGCATGAAGGCTTTGGGAGCCACTGCAGTGAAATGACGTAAGACTTTTCTCCTTACATTCAGTCACTGCAGCCCTCTACTCTTACAGCTTGACTTTGTAATTTCATTATCACAACTCCTTGTTGCTTTGCCTCCTGCCTGCACCATAATAACTCCCTTCCTAATAGGTTTCCATGCCCGCACTTCACACGGCAGTCAGAATTTGAAAATGTGTTGATACAGGCCATCCCGGTCCCTTGGGAATTGGACTTGCTGCCTCATTGCACATGAAGCACAGGGAGGAGTTTATTTGCTCTGATGTGCCCCTGTAGACATACATTAACTGATAAGTGCTGAATCCTGGGGGAGCGGGAGGGGGGGGCATTTCCAATGATTCACCAAATGAAGGGACACGACAGAGAAAGATATCAGTCTAAAATATGAAAGCAGTCCTTCAGGGCCAGGATAAGTAGCTGTTATCAGCGGCCCGCTCAATTTCAGTATCAGACATCCGTTACTCAAAGATGAACCTGTTATTGGGGACCATGTTGCCTTGTGATGACTTTTCTATCTGGGTCAAGCTGCACAGAAAGCTGCCATAAGTCAGGTCTAGTTAACTGTTGGAACATGTAACCACATCTGTCACTGTAACAGCAGACATTAGGTGAGAGTAAATTGGTTTCAGAGCATTCCTGAAAACTCAAAATGAAATAAGCACATGCCTCATGATTGGTTTTGAATCCTGATTGAAGGAGAAAAACAAAACAACAAATATATATATATATATTTTTACAGAATGGTGTGGTCGAGTTGCGCAGAATCTTCTGTCCTCCCACAAACTGCTCCGAAGACTCGCTTCCCGTGCACGTTGAGGGAACTTGCTGCAAGATCTGCCGACGTAAGTAGTATTATTCTTGAAGCAACATTTGTCTCTAAAACAAGTTTATTTTTATTATATTAAATGTTGACTGGAGGTGGAATAAAAAACTAAATAAATATGTGAAAATGAATAAATGACTTGTTGCTTGTTTGATCACACAAGCTTTCAAAGCATGCATAGTTAAATGACCATTTCAAAGAAGTTAAAAAGTTTTCTTTAATAGTAGTTTTCTCTACTATTAAAGATTTTATTCTATATTCTTTATGAAGTTTACCTAATTTTTTGGCAGTGTTTTCGTACAATTGCATTCTACCCATTAATAACTGGAGTGAGCAGAAGAAACCAGAGACATTGATGGTGTCTACATCAGGGCAAAAACGGCCGAAACAAAACAAGTGATGTTTATGTTCACCGGACAGTAGCTACATTCCAGTAAGGTTAATAAATAACCAGCCTGTTTTGTTGGCGGAGGAGAATGGGAGCACAGATCACTGAAGTCTGATTGTAACTGAAACAGAAAAGGAAACACCCCACCAGGTACGAGGTACACAAATCAAAGTGTGTCTCACAGCCCAATGGACACTGGTGTCTCCTTTCCTCTCCCAGTAAGTCCCTGAAGTATAGTCCATCTTTTAATAAATCCAGGCCTCCTCTGTTACCGTCATCCCTGCGCTCGTTCCCTCTTTCTCCCCTGTGAACATCAGAGCTTTGGCAAAGATGAACGAGGGAGCTGCAGCTCCAGAGCTGAGGCTTGAGAGCTCCATGGTCTGGTACCCTGGAGAGAAGAGGAGAGGGAAGAAGCAGGACTCCGTATCCTGCTTTATTTTCCTCCTTTTTTTTTGTTATTGCCAAAGGAATATGTAGAATGGCCTGCTCTGTTGTATTCTTAATGCACTGACACATCTCCTCCCTACTTATGCACGCTGGCCAAGTTTGTATCGACTCTTATTAACTAGGCAGAAGTTGTCTGAAAACTTTTTCTGCTCCATATTGGAACCCAGTCACTACCAAACACTGTAACTGACTAAAATATAATGCAACTTTGATGGAGCTGCTAAAATAGTCTGCTCTAAAATACTAAACTAAGGGGTGTTATGTAAGTCTTTCATTCATCCATTTTGGTACCACTTAGTTCTGTCCATGCCTGTGGTCAGGGAAGATGATCCCAGCAGGGATTCTGGGAAATGTTTTTGGACTATAGAAGGGAACTTGAATACTAAGCGAAACACACATTGCTGACATCGGGATGTTGTCTCTTTCACATGGTCTGATACATACTGTAGGTGTTGACATGTTTTGTCAACACACTGGGAGAACTTACCAATGACATAAAGCAAAGGTGTCCAACTCAATGGTCTGACTTTAAATCACAGTTTAAGTGTCGGCTGAAGATTCGCATTTATTGAACGAACTGGTGCAAATGGTTTCCTGGTTGAAATAAATTAAAAAAGTAACAAAAGGCATGTCTCATACGGAAGCCACGTCGACCCACCTCATTTGAAGACAACAGGCCCCCATCTTTCTGTGAACATGAGTATAAACTCTTCACTGTTGACTTATTTTAAGACAACCATATGCATGGTACGCACCGGTGGGCCACATAAAATTAATTGGAGGGCTGGATTTTGGTCCATGGGCCTCAAGTTTGAAATATGTGACATAAAGGATGGTCATCAGTTACCACTGGAGGTTGAACCGATGGTCTCCTTGCTGTGAGACAAGAGCCCTAACCACTCTTCCACCTTGTGGCCCAAGTGTTGATTACTCTTTTTCTTTTCCTTCCACAGCTAAATGCTCCTACATGGGCCAGACCCTGGCTGAAGGACAGCGGTTCTTATCCAGAGGCTGCAGGAAATGCAAGGTAACCTTTCTAAACAATTCATCGTCAGGGCTACGCTTTACAGTCAACAAAACACTGCTATTACAACACTAATGTACAGAGTGTTCTCTGTGCGGCCTCCTCAGTGTATTATTTAATTAACCTGTAGTTTCTTTAAAGTCCTCCTTTCATATCCCAGTCTCTTTAATTTGCCTTTTTTCTTCTGTGATCTGCAGAGATAGCCAGGTAATTAGGAGAAATTATGAACATTGCTGGACTTAGCCCTTATTAGAGCTGGCGATTCTTCACTGTGTGGGCTGTAATTAAAGTCATTATTCCAGCTTAGTATAGAACACAGTTTTTTTCACAGGCTATTTATCTTTAAAGAGGAAAAAAAGTAATTTTGAGAGAAAACTAGCGTTGAGTGCGAATGTAATTGCTTTACAAAGCCCAACACAGTGGACTCCTTATGTAGTATTTATTATTAGCCTCACAGTAGCAGAAACATCAGGTTGGTTAGCTTTGTTTAAGCAATTAAAGTCATCCTTCACAGAGGTTTTTGTAGCTGAACCAGGGCTCTGTTCCCTCATCCTTATAATACACAAGGTGAGAACGAAAGAAAAGGTTGACTGCTGTACTGTATGTAGTTACCTTTGAACAGGACACAGGAG